TCCATTATATTATGTAATCGCAATGTTCATTATTATATGCACACACTATCTTGAGGTCATCTTGAGATGATTTCGGGGCTTTTTTTTAGTGTCCCCGCGGCCCGGTCCTTGACCAGGCCTCCACCCCCAGGAAGCAGCCCGTGACAGCTGACTAACACCCAGGTACCTATTTTACTGCTAGGTAACAGGGGCATAGGGTGAAAGAAACTCTGCCGATTGTTTCTTGCCGGCGCCCGGGATCGACCCCGGGACCACAGGATCACAAGTCCAGCGTGCTGTCCGCTCGGCCGACCGGCTCAATGTACAGGTTTTTGCACTATTATTGCACATTTAGAATTCTTGGAGAGTGGTAGTCGTTGAAGCAGTCGACAGCACACAATGGAACTGCACACACTTCACACCATGTTTGCACCACTTCACGTTTCTGTTCTCTCCTTTTTGTTGTTTTACATACTAGGCATTCACGTTGGCCTTTTGCACGCTTTCCAGCTGGTGGCAGATGTTTTAGTCTGTGTTGCTGAAAGGTCTCCATGTGAGCGAGCCTGGGTGTTGCAGCATGCTGCAACACTGGGTTCATGATTGGTAAAGATGTCCCTGGCATACAGACCAAACTTTGCTAATAACTGTGTCGCAAGTGTAAAAGCAAATGCACGGAAAATAGGTTTATGTCCAGTTTTTACCAGATGCAAATTATAGCAGTTCAACATGCTCATGTCAACAAGATGGAAAAACACTTTTTTCGTCCATTTCAATGTTTTCCGCACACACTCGATAATGCCAACCATTATGTCAGCCTTATCAATCAAACGCATGTTGATATTACAGGCATACCTCAGAATAAGAGTTTAATCCGTTCCTGGAGACGCCTCGCCTTCCGAAAACTCGCATTCCGAAGTTAATTTCCCCATGAGAAATAAAGGGAAATGAATTAATCCGTTCCTGACTACCCCAAAAACCCCACATCAAACTAAATTTTTATACCTAATTTACCTAATTCATCTAAATAAACCTACAAAACTGTGTTCCAGTTATTACTTGCTGTCGAGTGCTGTAGGCGTATGGAAGATGGTGAGGAGGGGGGAGGAGGAGAGGAGTTACTGTTTGGAAGGGGAGTCCCCTTCCATAATCACATCACATAACCCCATGCCTTGTAACACTATGGATACCACTTCTCTTTCTAAATTTGTCAAACCAGCCCCTGCTTGCCTTAAACTCTTTCTTATCTGCATCACTCGTTGCAGGGGTATTCTTTAGAAGGTCTTCGTGCAACACCCTGGCTTTCTCACAAATAATGGCCTCCGAAACACTATCACCCCTCAACTCCTTGTCGTGTATCCAAATTAATAACAACTTTTCCACTTCTTCAAGTATTTGTGGTCTTTGTGCCGTTAATGTTCTTACTCCTTTTGCCACTTTAGCACCCATAATCTTATTTTTCTTAAGTATAGTGCATATTGTTGATGTGGCTTTGTTGTACTGCCTACAAAGTTCAACAACACGTGTACCGTTCTCATGCTTCCGAATGATCTCTTGTTTCTCCTCTATTGTCATCCTCACATGAGCTTTCTGGCCTTTATCCTTACCACTGGCTTTCTTGGGACCCATGGTGAGATATATAATAACAAATTGTATAGACAAATCGCCAAAAATCCAACAAAACACTGAAAATCCGCGAGAAGAATTGATGTGGGGGTAGTCACTGAGCGCGAGACAATGGTAAACTGAGGGGCGGCGGGGCGGAGGGGCGACGATCGCCGAACCACCACGCGCTAGGTCGGCCTGTACGCGTATCAACAAACTCGCGTCCCGAAGTAACCCTCGCCTTCTGAGACAAATTTTTGGAGTAAATACTGCTCGCCTTCCGAAAACCTCGCATACAGGGACAATCGCATTCCGAGGTACCACTGTATAGTCAAGAACACAATCTGGCTTATATACTGGTTCTTTCGTTACACGGCTCACCTTGCCACTGTTCACCATTGTACTTTCATGAACGGTTGTCAGCATGTTCACTTCTCTCTTGTCTTTGCACCAAACTGAGAGTATTTGATCACATTTCCATAGCTGACACTCGCCAACTGCAAGTCTACCGCCAAACATTGGCATTTCCCTTCTTCGTGCCTTTACTGTGCCAACCAATCCAGTTCTATTTTCAATCAAAAACCTAGCTATCAATGGACTTTTATAGTAGTTATCTGTGTATAAGATTTGGCCCTTGTTCATCCATGGTGCCATCAGTGACTTCACCACACTACCCGAGAAACCATGTTTGGCGTTACCGGGAATGTCTACGTCGCTAGCTGAATACAGAATCATGTGTAACATGTATCCTGTTTCACAGTCACACAGTACAAAGAATTTCAGTCCAAATCTGTTTCGTTTGGAGGGAATATACTGGTTGAATGAAACACGTCCTTTGAAAAGCACAAGGGATTCGTCAGTCACCAGCTTCTGTGCTGGTATGTAAAAATCTCTGAACTTTCCAATCAATTTATTCATATAGTGCCTCACTCACCAAAGTCTATCATCCTCTGTCCGGTCCTCATCACTTGCAAAATGCAGACACCTGAGGAGTATCTGAAACCTGTCTCAGGACATATATTTCCCGAAGAAAGGTGTTGGAATAGTCAGATCTTTGCTCCAGTAATCTGTGATAGCGTGTTTGACACAGTGCTTCATCAACATACATATTGCTAAAAACACATACATTTCACCTACAGTGGTGGTTTCCACAACGTTGCAATCAGGAAAATTCTGTCATCTCTCTTCCAATGAGATGAGCCGCATGAAAGTTCGTTTAGTGTACAATGTATTCCATGAGTGGCTCATCATAGAAAGCTGTAAAATAATCCAATTCACACATATCCTCTCCATTATCACCTACACCTGGTGTCTTGCGAGACACAACAGGGGCACGATGGCGAGGAAGCGATGCACACTGGACCAGGAGCTGAAGCCCGTCTATGCACAGTACGGTCGCTACGTGCACGTGAGGTGGAAGCACGTGAACATGAGGCTCGTGGTGCTTCATGTTGTTCCATGCGGTGGCGCTTGGCTGGGTGAGACGCTGCTGATGCGACAAATTCTCGTCCAGTAACACCACTGGTACTGGAACCAGGCTCAGTAACACTGTTCTGATTCCACTTCACTAAAACAAGAAAGAGAGTCACCTTTCTCTGACTTGTCACCAAAAATATCCTCAGACTCTAAATAAGCACAGGAACTGTGTGGTCGTGGGTGAATTGTAGTAGACACTGGGCGAGGTGGTATGGGTGAGCATATAGGCCTCGCCATGGGAGGCGGCAGTATATCATTTTCACTGTCCGTGCTACTATCATTGGTTAATTGTGTGTAGTCTTTATCGATGTCAGTCATCAAAATCACTTTCCTCACCATCAGAAAATAATTATCTGGTTATTTGCTCATGGGTGAGTGATTGCGTGGTGTGCGCCCGGGAAGCATTCGGCCCTGCGCTCGACATGGTGGCTGCTGGGTAACTGATGCCTCCAACGCGATGGTAGTGTGAACTGGATTTTTTTTTACAAAATGGCGGCTGTTTATTATAGCCCCTGGGCAGCGTATGGGGGCCCCCTCTACCCCGCGGGCCTTTCAAATCTTGCACGGTACTCCAATACATCATATGATGTGGAGTGCAAGTTACTACAAGTCACTTGACCCATCATATGATGTGTTGCGCAGTTAAAGGGTTAATAGTGAAGGCATCTTCTTGAGCTCATCTTGAGATGATTTCAGGGCTTAGCGTCCCTGTAGCCCGGTCCTCAACCAGGCCTCCTTTTTGTTACACATTCCCAGGAAGCAGCCTGTAGCAGCTGTCTAACTCCCAGGTACCTATTTACTGCTAGGTAACAGGAGTATCAGGGTGAAAAAAACTCTTCCTATTTGTTTTTACCTCCACCGGGGATCGAACCCGGAACCTTAAGACTACAAATCTGAAGCGCTGTTCCCTAAGCTTACATACCCCTTTATGGTAAACCTTATTTTGTAAAAGCTAATCTTTACTCTGAATCATCATAATTGTTTGACGAGTAAATGGTTTATTGGGAAAGTTTTCAATTTAAAAGTGGTTTAGGTTTTTATATGCACAAGAGGGTCCTCCATCATGCTGTACAGTCGACATGTGAGTATTACACATAACTTATTTTCCATTGTGAAATGTAAAAAAAAAAAAAAAATACTGTAATATTATGTAACTGAACTTTGTGCATGTGTTTGGTGCATTTGTGTGTACCTGTATTATCTAAGTGTAATTACAGGATGAGACCTATGTTCATGGTGTCTCATTTTCCCAATGCTGTCATCTGACACTTTGAAACTACTGGTGGTTTTGGCATCCACCGTCTTCTCACTTAACTTATTCCAACCATCTACCACATCTCTCTGCTAAAGTGAATGGTAGACAGTTGAACTCAAAAGGTGGTGGATGCCAAAATCATTAGTACTGTAGTTTCATAGCATCATATGACAGAGCACTGGGAAGATGGGACACCATGAGCATTGTTTTCATCCTGTAACTACACTTGGATAATAACACAAAATCCCCCACCCCCACAAAAAACATCTCTTCCCTACATACCTCCCCTGCCATCCACTGAACAACATTCCCACTCACAGAAGCCAGCTCACATTACCACCAACTGTGTTTCCATCCCATCCCACTCAACATATTCGTACTTTCGCTCCACCTACACCAATCACATTACCACCAGCCATGCTCTTGACCCTCCCACATTCACACTCCAAGCACACCAACCATAGTTCCCAGCATTGGTTAATAATTTTTGTGTAGTGGGATATATCTGGCATAGATGCTGAGGATATTTTCTTTAATTGGCTGTGATGAAAAAAAAAAATTATTTAATTTTGCCTTGAAGAAATATTGAAATATTTGCAGTAAAATACCCACATGGAAATAACATAGAAATATTTACTGTATGTTAAAATATATGTTGATGTACTAAAGTGTTATTTTCTGTTTTAAGATGTCGAGTCATCAGCAGTTACGCGTTCTCGTAGAACAGCTGCAGCGAGAAGCTAATATAGATCGCATGAAAACCTCGGAGGCAATCAACCATCTCAAGGTACTGATGTATACATGTTATATTTCCCATGATTAATTTGTTAACTCATTCACTGTTATTTATTTTGTTATTCTTCATTTGGGTGGTACATGCAGAATTTACCAGTGTTTTCTGTCATACTTTGCAGCATTTAATGATCCCACAAATATTAAGGACTTTTTTTTTATATACAAGATTGAAAGACATCATTTAGCAGCACTAATTTATAAATTGCCAATTCGTATCTTAAAATTTGGTTATAGGAAGGTAATTGTACACTTATCTTTCTTGGTAGATACATCCAATTCTTTCAGTTGTCATGCATTTCTATCATAAACCAAATAAGGGATACTGGCCAAACTTCCAAAGAATATTGCCTTGGCAAGGACTATTCGAGCACTAGTGCTGAACACCATGCTTCATCTTGCAGAAGGGAGAAGTGATTTCCTTGGAGACTAGTATACACTTCTGATATTACACACAGAAATCACAATAGTGGTTATCTTGAGGTTATCTAGAGATGATTTCGGGGCTTGGTGTCCCCGCGGCCCGGTCCTTGTCCAGGCCTCCAACCCCAGGAAGCACCCCGTGACAGCTGACTAACTCCCAGGTACCTATTTACTGCTAGGTAACAGGGGCATCAGGGTGAAAGAATCTCTGCCCATTGTTTCTCGCCGGCACCCTGGATCGAACCCGGGACCACACGATCACGCGTCCAGTGTTCTGTCCACTCAGCCACCGGCTCCACAATAGTGTGATGCATCAAATGAACAAATCCACAAGGGCCGTGACAAGGGTTCGAACCTACATCAGAGAGGATCCCAGACGCTGCCTTAATCGACTGAACTACGACATGGTAAACGAATTGCAACCTGGAGTTCTACTGACCTTACTCGGATCTTGCAGCCTCTCCGAGACACAAACCAGGGTTTTACACAATTTCCCCATGCACCCAAGCTCTGTCAAGAAGTAAAACCCTGGTTTGTGTCTCGGAGAGGCTGCAGGATACGAGTAAGGTCAGTAGAACTTTCGGTTGCAATTCTTTTACCATGTCGTAGCTCAGTCGATTAAGGCAGCGTCTGGGATCCTCTTGGACATAGGTTCGAACCCTCATCACGGCCCTTGTGGATTTGTTCACTTCTGATATTTTAAAGATTTTACCAATATTGTACAGTGATATTTAGCATAAAAGCTCTTGAGTATTTAATTGCAAAATATTATAGTAATAGTGTTTATTGTATCACTAGGTGACATAGGTTTTGTGTGTGATACTGTAATGCATGTGTGCTTGCCTTAAGGAAGCTAAAGTCTTAAAGATTGGATTAGATGGTAAATAAGAACGCTTAAAAACAAAAAATTTTGCTGTTTGTGTGGATTTTCTGAGACTGTATTATGGAAGAAAATAATAATACAGCACACAATACATTTTTTAATACAAATTTTTACTCTGGCATAATTTTTGTTTTTATACTTTTATACGTATTGGAATTGGGAATTTTACAATGATCATAATGAATATAGTCCTTCGACTCCAGTTTTTAAGTGCCTTAAGTCCAGCTCAGATATTATGCCCTGGAGTGGTGATGGTAGCTAATACAGTCCCAAATAAATTATAATACCGTTTCTACGTGGTGCTTTAGGCAAGCGAGTTCATCATGATGTTAGTGTATGTTTTGCCAGAGTAAGCTTTGTAAATGTTAATGATTATGTATATGTATGTAGCCTTCAGTATTTTACAAAGAGCCATTGCTTCAATAATATTTAGTTAATGCTGTATTGTGCATTGTTGTATGTATACATGTTTGAGTTTTGCATATGTATAATTATATGCATATATGCTTTCATGAATAGTGTGCGCACATGCATGTTTGTATACAATACAGTTCATGCACAGTTGTGTATATGATTTAGCCATGCATGTGATCAATAATGAAGAAATTGATAATATGCCCAATATTCCAAGTGAGGTTATTAAGTTCTCTTAACAGTGTTAGTTTTTGTTCCTAACTAGATGTACAGTGCAGAAATTTCAAACAAAATTTATGACTTAAATATATACAAAAGACTGCTGTTGTTGTGATTTCCCCATGCATATACATATTTTCATGTAGCAGAGGAGGTAAGTGTTGGTATTTGAAGTACTTTCCATGCACAGCACGTTGAAACATTTGATAGCATAATGAAACACATGAATGTGATAACTTTGGTTACATAGACAAGATATCTGGAGAGATGACAACCTTGGGTCTGTGTCAGCACCTTCCGCTGATGCCCCTGTGCTTATTGCGACAGAGGTACATCTCGGAACACGAGGCAGAGGACTATCTTCTGGTCGGCTTCACCTCTCAGAAGGCCAACCCATTCCGCGAGAAGAGCTCCTGCACCGTCCTGTAATGTGTAAGCAATGTCACTTGCCACTCAAAATTCACATAGATACATACATTACATACAGTACTGTGTGTGTGTGTGTGTGTGTGTGTGTATAATTACACTATATATAATATATAAATTTTATTTATATATATATATATGTCGTACCTAATAGCCAGAACGCACTTCTCAGCCTACTATTCAAGGCCCGATTTGCCTAATAAGCCAAGTTTTCATGAATTAATGTTTTTTCGTCTACCTAACCTACCTAACCTAACCTAACCTAGCTTTTTTTGGCTACCTAACCTAACCTTACCTATAAATATAGGTTAGGTTAGGTTAGGTAGGGTTGGTTAGGTTCGGTCATATATCTACGTTAATTTTAACTCCAATAAAAAAAAATTGACCTCATACATAGAGAAAAGGGTTGCTTTATCATTTCATCAGAAAAAAATTATAGTAAATATATTAATTCAGGAAAACTTGGCTTATTAGGCAAATCGGGCCTTGAATAGTAGGCTGAGAAGTGAGTTCTGGCTACTAGGTACGACATATATATATATATATATATATATGACAATGTCAGACCACGGAGGAAAAATGAAAAATTGATTGGGAGAGTGCGTCTTCAATAACAAATTGTAAAAGCACCTATAACAGAAACATAATTGAATCCGCTTTGATACAGATCACCAAAGAAAGTAATTTGAATATTAGCAGTGGTCTATATAACTTAGATCCATTTCTAATAGATCAGCTAAAGGGCGATTTAAGTAGAATCATTGAAAAACATTTGTCTCACTAATTTATTGTATATATTTACCTCTTTATGTTATAATTACCTATGTATTATGCTTGTATGTCTGCTGTATCAGATGGGCCATTGGGCTACATCGGATGGGCCAATTGGGTGCATCTGATGGGCCAATGGGCCTTCTGCGTTGTCCAAGTATTGTACCTCACCTTACTTCACCACTCTCTCCTGCCTATTTATACCCATCACTCGATCTGTAAAATGACCTTCTGAAGATGTATTTAATATACGAAAGTACTTAAGGAAATTTCCTGTTTCATTTTTCCTCCGTGGTCTGACATTGTCACATTCTTAATCACGTGTTTATTTTCGTGATATACACACATATATATATATATATATATATATATATATATATATATATATATATATATATATATATATATATATATGTCGTACCTAGTAGCCAGAACTCACTTTTTGGCCTACTATTCAAGGCCCGATTTGCCTAATAAGCCAAGTTTTCCTGAATTAATATATTTTTTCTAATTTTTTTCTTATGAAATGATAAAGCTACCCATTTCATTATGTATGAGGTCAATTTTTTTTTATTGGAGTTAAAATTAACGTAGATATATGACCGAACCTAACCAACCCTACCTAACCTAACCTAACCTATCTTTATAGGTTAGGTTTGGTTAGGTAGCCGAAAAAGTTAGGTTAGGTTAGGTTAGGTAGGTTAGGTAGTCGAAAAACAATTAATTCATGAAAACTTGGCTTATTATGCAAATCGGGCCTTGAATAGTAGGCCAAAAAGTGAGTTCTGGCTACTAGGTACGACATATATATATATATATATATATATATATATATATACAGTGTGTCCTCACTTGAACGAACTATATGGGGCGAAGCCGATTCGTTCCAGTGCGGAATTCGTTCCATCCGTCCGGCCCCAACAACCTTCTTATTTTTTTTTTTTTTAAACATATGCCAGGACACATTAGTTTGTTTCTTTGTTGTGTGGTGCTTCATTATAATATCTTTCATGCTCTTTTGGTGTCAATAATAATCTGAGATGCGAGAATCACCATCCCCCACCCCACTCACACCATCCTCCACACCCACCCACACCATCCTCCCACACCACCCACACCATCCCCCACACCACCCACACCATCCCCCACACCACCCCCCACCCCCACACCACCCACACCATCCCCCACACCACCCACACCATCCCCCACACCACCCACACCATCCCCCACACCACCCACACCATCCCCCACACCACCCACACCATCCCCCACACCACCCACACCATCCCCCACACCACCCACACCATCCCCCACACACCCACCCACACCACCCCCCACACCACCCACCATCCCCCACACCACCCACACCATCCCCCACACCACCCACACCATCCTCCACACCACCCACACCATCCCCCACACCACCCACTACACCATCCCCCACACCACTCCACCACACCCCCCACACACCATCCCCCACACCACCCACACCATCCCCCACACCACCCACACCATCCCCCACACCACCCACACCATCCCCCACACCACCCACACCATCCCCCACACCACCCACACCATCCCCCACACCACCCACACCATCCCCCACACCACCCACACCATCCTCCACACCACCCACACCATCCCCCACACCACCCACACCATCCCCCACACCACCCACACCATCACCCACACCACTCACACCATCCCCCACACCACTCACACCATCCCCCCACACCACCCACACCATCCCCCACACCACCCACACCATCCTCCACACCACCCATACCATCCCCCACACCATCCTCCACACCACTCACACCATCCCACATACCACCCACACCATCCCCCACACCACCCACACCATCCCCCACACCACCCACACCATCCCCCCACACCACCCACACCATCCCCCACACCACCCACACCATCCCCCACACCACCCACACCATCCCCCACACCACCCACACCATCCCCCACACCATCCCCCACACCACCCACACCATCCCCCACACCACCCACACCATCCCCCACACACCACCCATCACCATCCCCCACACCACCCACACCATCCCCCACACCCCCACACCATCCCCCACACCCCCACACCATCCCCCACACCACCCACACCATCCCCCACACCATCCCCCACACCATCCCCCACACCCCCACACCACCCCACACCACTAACACTTCCACACCCACCCACACCACCACCACCCACCATCCCCCACACACCCCACACCACCACCCACACCACCCACATCATCCCCCACACCATCCACACCTACACCACCCATACCATCCCCCCACCCCCACACCACCCCCACACCACCCACACCATCCCCCACACCACCCACACCATCCCCCACACCACACCATCCCCCACACCTTCCCCACACACACACCCACACCATCCCCCACACCACCCACACCATCCCCCACACCACCCACACCATCCCCCACACCCCCACCCATCCCCAACACCACTAACACCATTCGCCCCCACCACCCACACTCCCCACACCACCACCCACACACCCCACACCACCACCCACCCCACACACCCCACACCACCACCCACATCATCCCCCACACACCCCACACCACCCACATCATTCCCCCACACAACCACACCACACCCCAACCACACCACCCATCCCCCCCACACCCAAACCACGCCACACCACCCCAACCACCACCACCCAAACCATACCACACCACCCACACCGTGTATTGAAGCAGCAGGCTTGGAAGCGTCTCAACTCGCCCAACAAAAAAAAATGATGGGTTGACAGGTCTCCTCTCACACCTCCAGGACCCCCCCCCCCCCCCCCCAGGTACCCGGCCATACACACCACAATGCCAAGTCAGCTATTGATTTCTTCAGGAAACAATAAAACGTGTTAATGATTAATAATGTATATTAATACACGAAAATTAACATATTTTGGCATAAATATTTTACAGCTAAGATTGAGATTTATAAGAGTATGAATGAGAGGTTTGGCAGCCATGCGTGGTCACCACCCTTCTCTCTCCACTTCCACCTCCCCTGACAACACCTTCCACCACTGACCCCACCTGCCTCTTTCCACCACCTGCCTCCCCTGACACCGCCTGCCTCCCCTGACCCCACCTGCCTCCCCTGACCCCACCTGCCTCCCCTGACCCCACCTGCCTCCCCTGACCCCACCTGCCTCCCCTGCCTCCCCTGACCCCACCTGCCTCCCCTGACCCCACCTGCCTCCCCTGACCCCACCTGCCTCCCCTGACCCCACCTGCCTCCCCTGACCCCACCTGCCTCCCCTGACCCCACCTGCCTCCCCTGACCCCACCTGCCTCCCCTGACCCGCCTGCCTCCCCTGACCCGCCTGCCTCCCCTGACCCCACCTTCCTCCCCTGACCTGCCTGCCTCCCCTGACCCCACCTGCCTCCCCTGACCCCACCTGCCTCCCCTGATACCACCTGCCTCCCCTGACCCCACCTGCCTCCCCTGACCCCACCTGCCTCCCCTGACACCGCCTGCCTCCCCTGACCCCACCTGCCTCCCCTGACCCCACCTGCCTCCCCTGACCCCACCTGCCTCCCCTGACACCACCCTGACTGCCTCCCCTGACACCACCTGCCTCCCCTGACCCCACCTGCCTCCCCTGACCCCACCTGCCTCCCCTGACCCCACCTGCCTCCCCTGACCCCACCTGCCTCCCCTGACCCCACCTGCCTCCCCTGACCCCACCTGCCTCCCCTGACTCCCCTGACCCCACCTGCCTCCCCTGACACCACCTGCCTCCCCTGACCCCACCTGCCTCCCATGACACTGCCTGCCTCCCCTGACACCACCTGCCTCCCCTGACATCACCTGCCTCCCCTGACACCGCCTGCCTCCCCTGACACCGCCTGCCTCCCCTGACACCGCCTGCCTCCCCTGACACCGCCTGCCTCCCCTGACCCCACCTGCCTCCCCTGACCCCACCTGCCTCCCTTGACCCCACCTGCCTCCCCTGACCCCACCTGCCTCCCCTGACACCACCTGCCTCCCCTGACACCACCTGCCTCCCCTGACACCACCTGCCTCCCCTGACCCCGCCTGCCTCCCCTGACACCACCTGCCTCCCCTGACCCCACCTGCCTCCCCTGACCCCACCTGCCTCCCCTGACCCCACCTGCCTCCCCTGACACCACCTGCCTCCCCTGACCCCACCTGCCTCCCCTGACACCGCCTGCCTCCCCTGACA